GAGAAGAGAAGAGAAGAGAAGAGAAGAGAAGAGAAGAGAAGAGAAGAGAAGAGAAGAGAAGAGAAGAGAAGAGAAGAGAAGAGAAGAGAAGAGAAGAGAAGAGAAGAGAAGAGAAGAGAAGAGAAGAGAAGAGAAGAGAAGAGAAGAGAAGAGAAGAGAAGAGAAGAGAAGAGAAGAGAAGAGAAAGAAAGAAAAGAGAAGAGAAGAGAAGAGAAGAGAAGAGAAGAGAAGAGAAGAGAAGAGAAGAGTTGAGTTGGAAGGGATCTACAGCGGTCACCTAGTCCAACTGCCTGACCACTTCAGTCAGGGCTGACCAAAAGTTAAAGCATAGTGTTAAGGGCATTGTCCAAATGCCTCTTAAACACTGACAGGTATGGGGCAGACCTTTCTAGGGGAAGCAGCTCACAGCTACTCTGTGCCATTGCTTAGTTTCTTGACTTGTGGAGCCTGGCAAAGCAGTACTTCAGTGATGGTCTGAACTGTGTATGAACAATATGGTAGCAAGAGTGCTTCTTTGGTATCAGCAGAAACCAGGATATTGCTAGACTAAATGTTGAAAGGTATTATAGCTGGAACCCAGTACTTTAAATTATGATACTTGATCTCTAGATTCTTAAGGTCTCATACAGCCAAAACCTTGAGTTAATTTGCTATTTTGAGGTAATGTAAAGAATAGTCAGTAAATGTCCAAAAATATAGTTTGTGTGATTTCTGTCTAGATTAGATAGGTTTTAGTAATCTGCATAATGAAAGAGCTGCCAGAATGCCTTAATGTTCCTATCCCAGAAGTCTGAGAAAACCTAATGAATTTTTATAGCTAGGAGACCTATTCTGTTGGCTAATAACAACTACCTTCACACCATTGTGAGGAATAAGTGTTAGACTTACACTGAGTAGAGCAAGTAATCAGTTTTACCCTAACTCTGTGTGTTTTTTCATAGCCAAGTACTAAATCCAGACAGTAACAGATGATGTACATATTTTTTTCTTAAAAGGAAGCTAATTTACAGGTTAATTATGAAGGAATTAAAATTACTGTTGCTAAAATAAACGAAGTACATTGTGTAAATGTGAGTGATGCTTTTAGTTATTTGTTATTATGGTTTGCTTTTTTTCTTCAGCAATTTACAGTGGGTCTCCCACATATTGCAAATTAGCCTACTTTGCTGGATAACAAATACTTTTCTCTCTTCACTAAACAAAAGACTGCATAAAATGAATAATAGTGCTACTAGTATGTGAAAAGCCAGTGCTCCAAAAAGCCATTATAAGTACACTTGAACAATAATTACGGGAAACAATGCCTCCGCTCCTTGAATTTTGTCATAGAAATTGTGATAGCACTAAACATGATTAAAATCTGGGGCAGTTTAGAATGCCATCTACTTAAAGACATTATCAAACCATGTCTCCCCCCTTTAGAAATAGACGCACAAAAATAACCCCAAAAGCTGAAAATGTGTTCATTTCCTCTGTTTTCATATATTGATTTCTGGAAACAAGGTATTCCCGCTTAACTCTTATTATTATTATTATTAGTGCACCTATCTGTATGAATCACATGGACTCCAGTTATACAATATGGCAAGACAAGAAAACTAAATGCTTTGTCAAGAGCTAGATGTAGCATTCGGGCCCAGATGCCATATCCAGGTTAAGTGCTCTGCCACTGTATGCACCGCTTGGCACCATGTAGATCAGTTTTTAGTTCCTGCTAGCTTTATTTTTTCAGCTGAAGACACAAAATAGCATAAACTTTGATCCTTTGACACAGGCTTGGCTGTATGCTTGGGAAGGATTACTTATGTTTAGTATCATGGCAATTTTGTTAAATCAGAGTATCAGACTGATGGTCAAAAAGTACACTACCCCCACCTCTGCACCATGTAAGGCTATCTGTCAAGATCATGCTATGCCATTAGGGAAAATAACGTTAAATAATACAAGCGATTCCCAAGGCAACTAATCCCTAAAGAACAACATATGAAAACATTTGAAATAACTCTAATGACATTAAGGTCAGTAAATCACACAGATGCATTATACACCCTCACAGTACACACTGTGAATGGTTAATTCACAACCTATAAAGTTGTAGGCTGAACACAGACCAGGTGCTAGGCTGGAGACATCTTATTTTTCATCTGTTCTTACCACTAAATATGATGCTGATTGTTCCTTTTGTTTCCATGCCGTGTAAGATGACATGCTAAAACTGGGACTAATATTTACCAAGATGGTCTAGACAATGTGTGCTGGACTTACTGCTCAGGCTTTTTTTTGACCTTGCCATTTCAAGAAAGCACTTGAAATAACGCACATGAAAGCCCGTGTCCAATGGATTGTCTAAACTGGAAGATTTACCACACTTTAGAACATGTAAGTGAATAAAATGCTAAGTGCAACATAGTTTTCCACGTGGACAGTCTTGGTTTTGCCTAATATTTAACATCAACCTCATTGGTCAATGTCTGACAATAACTGATGCATCACTGTAGCCAAGCTCCACCACAAAAGCGGTTCTACGTACACAAGCTGGTCAGCTGGCACAAACATGCTTGCTTGAGATGCTAAATACTGCTGCTTTTTGGCATAAACATGAAAAACTTCCTATTTGATTTAAAACATCCTGAATACTGTTATCTAATATTGGAAATGCAGCTGAGATTTTTTTTCAGTAGCAGAAGACTACTGTTCTTTGCTTACCAGTAGGGTACACCCTACTCCAGAAATTTCCAGAAAAGCTATTGTTGTCCAAATGAAGAATGTACACATAGAGATATTTTTAGTTTCTGATGTGAACCTACGTTCTTGCACCTTATTTTTCTGATGTATAGTTAGTTTCAAAATGAAACCATTTTTAGTCAGAAACTAACACT